ATCATGAATGGACCATAATCATCTATATGTGCTTTACAAAATCTCATGTCAAATCGATGATAAATATTACTTTCACAGAGTGAAGGATTATTTTGAGAATCCTTATTGTTCTCATTACCACAATGATGACGATTATAATTTTGTCTATTGCCACGTACACATACATTGATACATTCATAGTAATAATTTTGTCTTCTTTCAGACATATCATATATTGCTACCACATTCTCTTAAGGGAATGATAATGAAGCAAATTCAATGGGATGAGTTTCCACTTCTTGTGCTCACGATCATACATGACTTTGATCATGGCAAGACATAGAAATTTTACCATTTTAGGTGGTTATAATTTTTTTCAAACTCTATTAGAGTTACAATCAAAATTTATCGTCTTTGCTTATATTTAAAATCAAATTATAGAATGTCAAGAATTTAAAAGAAAAAAATAAAGTAAAATACTTACCTTAAATCTAGAATTTAATCATGAAAGAAGTTCATGGAACAATTGACAATCATTATGCTCAATCCCAAAGCTTCTACTCAATTTGTTAGAGTCTCGTGCTGATAACATATTATGAAACAATAAAAGAAGAAGAGTATTGCAGAGAAAAATAGAGAGAGAGAATTCTTATTGATTTGATATGAATTACAATGGAATAGAACCCCTTTATTTATAGGGAAAAAGTGACTTAGGCCTCATTTGTTTCTTTTAAGATTAAGACGTCTGAATCTGAATACACATCTGAATATCAAGATGTGTATTAAGATTAAGACATATGAATATGAATATATTAAGATGTGTATTAAGATCTGAATACTAAATAATTAAGATTATTTGATTTTTAACATCTAAATATCTTTATTTGAAAATTAATAAACATAAAATTCAAATAAAATACTAACTAGTCTAATATGCTATCAATAAAATATATAATTTTTTTAAAATATGATAGTTATTAGTGGTGATGGCTAACAGGTGAATGCCGACTAGAGGCGGTGGTTGGTGGTAGTTTTGGTTGATGATGGTGGTTCATGCTAGTAGCTAGTAGTGATTGATAGTGGTGGCGATTATGATTGAGGATGGTGATGGTGGGTGGTGATAGTTAATAATGGCGGGTGATGGTAGTAGTTGTGACTGAGGAAGGTGGTGGGTGGGTAGTGGTAAGTTATGATGATGGGTAGTGCCGGCTGTGGTTGTTGATGATGATGAGGTAGCCAACTCTATCCTCAAAAATAGTATTTTCCCTAAAATTTGCCTCCACGCAGCTCAAACCTAACAAAAAATGACTTAATATCATCAATGGCGCCTATGATTGAGGATGATGGTGGCATGGTGGTGCTGGCATGGTGGTAGTTAATAATGGTAGGCGGTGGTGGCAGTTAATAATGAATATGTGATAGCATCTTAATGAAATTAAGTTTCTATTATAGATCTTAATCATACAGACCTATTCAGACCCATTAAGTGATTGTGAAGTAAAAAAAAACAAACACACTTAATGAATAAGATCTGAATAATTAAGATTCAGACTTTAAAAACACACACTTAATGTCTCAGATCTGAATAATTAAGATTCAGACCTCCATTAAGTGCAACCAAATGAGGCCTTAGTAACCAAGTAACAAACCCTAAGAACTCTCTAAAATATAGACATTCACCATAAATAAAATACTATTTATAATAGTATAGAGCTAATTAAACCCAAAAAAACAAACAAACTAGGATTAATAAAGAATAGCAAATCAAGAAGAACTAAAGAAAAAGGAAACAAAAAGAATAGAACTAAAGTAAAGTACACACTGTTGCAGCAAGCATCAGGCTTACCACACTCAAGATCGCTAAGGGAATCCTTGCTATAACAAGTCAGTCTTACCACACTCAAGATCGCTAAGGGAATATTAGAACACAAGAGAATTGCCAAAGGAAGCTTTTGTACTAGAGAGAGCTTGATGGTTTTGCTTGGTTAATTACAAATAAATGGCTCTCTTTATATACTAGTCTCCTCGGGGCTAGTATGTAAATATTAATTGTTGCATAAGTCCCTTATTATTTACAAGTAAGTCCCTTCTCTAGAATTCTCTACATAACTAGAATCTTCCAGGAACTTTCCTAGTAAATCCATAGGTTTCTAGAGTCTTCCTACGAAAACCTTTATATTTCTCTAGAACCTTCTCACAAGTGTTACTCTATTTCATATGTAAGCTTCCACATGGCATTAATATATGCCAAATGGAACCTACGTGGCATGATGATGTGGCAGGTCATGACACTCTCCCCCACCCAATTTTGTGCTGCCCTCGGCACAAAGCATCGACACATAAGCGCGCACCTCGCCTTGACGTCGCCGGAGATCTTTGTCCATTAGCCATGATGCTCTATGGAGCGGTTCACCTTCCCATTTCACAAGGTATCGGTCACCTTTCTTCTTACGTCGTTTGTACTTTGGACGGCTAGCAATGATGGCCTCGATCCTCCGCCTATCAGATGCCTCTCCTTGCTCTTGGCCTGAATCTCCCCATGACTCAATCAAGTCTAATAGCTTCTCAAGCATCGGGTCCATGCTTCCATTCCCTATTTATATGCCCTTCGTGATCTCAGCCTTGCTAACAAACTTGACCCCTTTGCTTGGTGCATCGTCTAAGTCCGATCGTGTGCCATCATTTTGTAACTCGCCATCCTCTTCAACTATGTCTGCCCAACCTTTTTGGCTACCACCATGCTCCATTTGCATGGCGCCAAGATAGGCTTTGGAATCCCCTACTTTCGGCTTAGATTCCAAGCGCATCCCTCCAATGCAGGCAGTCCCTCCTATGTCACCCTTGTGTCCCTGAGCAAAATTCCCGACCATTGTTGCAAGCTTCATCAACTCTAGGCATTCACTTGCCCAATGTGATCCTTTACAGAAGTAGCACCCTCCCTTAGGCACGTACTCGCTATTTTTTTTCGGCCCCTTGTCGTTTCTCTTAGACCCTTGTCCATCATATGATGGCCCATTTCCATTACCCTTGTATACCTCGGCTACGCCTTTCCCATTGTCCTCGTCATGATCTCCCTCACCCTATCGGTGTTGCCTTCTTTAGACTTGGCAGGCTCTATCTTGAAGTCAACAAGTGACTCGGCTACCACTATGGCCTCGTCCACATTAGCTACTTGATGTCTTCTTAACTCCTGCTTTGCCCAATTTTGCAACTCATCCATGAAGTAAAAGAGTGAATCTTCCTCGGATAATGATGGGATTTGCAGTATTAAGGTAGTGAACTCGCGCACATACTCCCGGATTGTGGCCGTCTGTTGGAGCTCCCTTAGCTTCCGCCTAGCCTCATACGCCACATTCACCGGGTAGAATTGCTTCTTCAACTCCTTCTTGAACTGTTCCCACGTCTCAATGTTGCATAGCCCTTTCTCCATGTCAGCACACTTTCGACGCCACCACAACGCAACAATCTCTTAGAGGTACAACACAGTAGTATTGATCTTGACCTCGTCGTCTCTCACCTTGTCATGCCTAAAGTAGTTCTCCAAGTGCAAAAGAAAGTTCTCCACTTCTTGTGCATCACGAACACCTTTGAACACCGGCGGTTTCGGAGCCTCGATCTTGGCCTCCCTTGTCACAATGACATTACTGTCTGCCTCAGTCACGCCATAATCGACACGCTCCTCAAGTGCCTTTATCTTAGCCTTCATGGTATCGATAGTGCTCAGCGCCTCCATGAGTCTACACTTCAAGGTATTGATAGTTTGTCTTAGCTCTATCTCGGCCTGCGTATACCCCTCCAAGTCATTTCAGATACTCTCAATCTCCTCAAGAGTATGTCCCTAAAAAACGCTAAGGGTGCCTTCCACCTTTCCCAAGTGTTGGCCAAAGATCTCGACAGCGTCCATCCCTGCATTCACCTTCATCACCCACTCTTTACCGAGCGAGACGTCCTCCGGCAGGACCTCTACTTCATCCTCGCTCACCTTAGTGGCAGATGGTTCTTGGGATGTAAGCCCCTCGTTTGGCACAAGCTGGGATGAAACCTTTTGGTTTTATTGGTGGCATTCCTCTTTTTGTTACCGTCGTTCTTGCCAGCAGCATCCTGGATAATGTTGGCTTGGGCGTTGGCAGCATTAATTTCTCTGTCGTTCGCCATTCTCCTAGTTGCAACCTTGCTCTAATACCACGTTGTCACGTCCTTAGTCTTGAACTAAGTGCACGTGCGGCACTTGGCAACTCACTCACGATCTTGCACAACTTGCTCACGTTCTTGCTATGCCAAGTCAGCCTTACCACACTCAAGATCACTAAGGGAATGTTAGAACACAAGAGAATTGCCAAAGGAAGTTTTTGTACTAGAGAGAGCTTGATGGTTTTGCTTGGTTAATTACAAATGAATGACCCTCTTTATATACTAGTATCCTAGGGGCTATTATGTAAATATTAATTGTTGCATAAGTCCCTTATTATTTACAAGTAAGTCCCTTCTCTAGAATTCTCTACATAACTAGAATCTTTCAGAGACTTTCCTAGCAAATCCATAGGTTTCTAGAGTCTTCCTAGGAAAACCTCTATATTTCTCTAGAACTTTCTCACAAGTGTTACTCTATTTCATATGTAAGCTTCCACATGACATTAATATATACCAAATGGCACCTACGTGGCATGATGATGTGGCAGGTCATGATAGTTGTCTCATTATTTTGCTCATTGAGATATTAATCAAATATACACAAAAGAGTTAATGATGTCCTGTTTTCCTGTTATTCATAGTATTTAGTAAGGTTATGGGAAAAAAAGGGAGTTATTAGTAAGTTGAGCAGAGCTGAACAATATTAATGTGTTTAGACTTAGATGTGGGAGAATTGCCTTTGAATTTGTTTAAATAAAATTGTCTTAGGTTTGCTTTCTGGAAAGTATCACCAACACTTAAAACATCTTAAGAAGCCTTCCCTTATACACAAATTAATAATTAAATCCAATTAACATCTCCATTTGCTAGGAAAGAGGGAAAAAATACGCTTCAAGAAAAACATAAAAACTCATTTGAACCCAACAAAATGGGGGGCGACTTCGAAATTTTGAGCTTAATGTTTACCAATTGCTTTGGAAACCCACTTCATGTTTGTTTGGGTTATAAATCCCTATTGACAGCAAAGATACCAAAAGAGCAATTTCCTTTTAACTAGAAACCCAGAAGTTACTATGCAGTAAAATGTGCCTTAAGCCCTTAACAGAGCCCTTTTGGTCAACTATTCCCCAGTGAATGAAAGGGGGAGCGAGGGAAGGGGGAGCTCCTCAGTTGCCAGAACTGAGCTATACATGTTCTAAACAACACTTCCTCCACCTGATTAGAGGTGGCTCCTTGATGGAGGTAGCCAACAAAATCAACTGCAAATGGACATCACCTGCCACCGACCTGCCTTTACAAAAGTGTAGTACTTACCCATGTTCACAGATGGAGTATAACGTCTCTGCAGTATAATAGTTGCCTTGCTTCCTTATCAAATGATGCTGACTCCTGCAGAGATTTTTTTTTTTTTTTTTTTTTTTTTTTTTTTTTTTTTTTTTTTTTTTTTTTTTTTTTTTTTTTTTTTTTTTTTTTTTTTTTTTTTTTTTTTTTTTTTTTTTTTTTTTTTTTTTTTTTTTTTTTTTTTAAAAACATTCTTGTGGTCAAAATTCAGGAACCAAAATTTGGCCACTCAAGGGTTGGGATTTTGCTGAGAATCAGAAGTTACACCTGTTGCAGAAGGTGTGGCATTGTGAGTCTGAGGAAGAACAGAAGCACCCGCAATGGGATCTGAAACTTGTGTAGCTTTAAAAATTTGTTGAACACCCTGCCAATGGTATGCGGTTTGCGTGATATGATTAGGGGGATAAAGTGCTTGAAGTCCAAGTCGTCCTTCAAAGCACTTGAGCTTTGATTTGTGCTTTCTACCCGAAAGATGACTTCTAAGATTCTCTCGTGTATCAAATTTCACATTGCACAGGTCACACATCAAAGGAATCACAAACAGCCGCCTCTTTGCTTTGGAAATTTTCTTTGCCTGCCCTTCACCACCTAGCATCTTGCGTTTCAAACCACGCGTTGGAACTACATCGCATTGTGCATCATTGATTTTAAGTTCAGTTCCTAATCTAATTTCGGACAGTATGGTGTCTAAAGGAGGCGGATTCTGCTTAGTCTCTTCTTCCTTAGGCAAATCATCAGGCTTCATGTTCGTTTCTGGTTTTAAATCACCAGAAGGTTTCTGTACATTCTGGATATCACTAACAGTTCTGTTTTCTGCTTCCAATTTTTTCAAGTTCTTTCTGTGCCGCTTACCACTCTCGTGCTGCTTAAGGCTGGTCATGTTACCATAATCAATCTTGCACAATTCACACCTAGCAACTCCAGCAATATTGCTAAATTTGCCCCTACCACCACTTTTGTGCTGACCACCAGGCTTCATGTTTGTTCCTGGTTTTAAATCACCAGAAGGTTTCTGTACATTCTGGATATCACTAACGGTTCTGTTTTCTGCTTCCAATTTTTTCAAGCTCCTTCTGTGCCGCTTACCACTCTCGTGCTGCTTAAGGCTACTAATCTTACCACAATCAATCTTGCACAATTCACACCTAGCAACTCCAGCAATATTGCTAAATTTACCCCTACCACCACTTTTGTGCTGAACACCACCCCTTGTACCACCCTTATCCAATGATTGACCAGCCTGCAGAAGTAGCCTCATGTGAACATGCAAGACTTCAACAGCCAATTCCAACAAAATGGATTACTAAAAGTACAGGAGAAAATAGCAATGCAAAGAGATCTGCAAAAATTATAAGTACCGCATGATTATATATCAAATCACACAAACCAGATTAACTTTACAGCTCAACACCCTGGTTTTGTATGCATCGCTAAATAGTTACTCCATCTCCACAAATTTAATCAACCTTTTGACAAGGTAAGACAAAATTAATGGTTAATATTATGGTCATGACGAGAAGAATAAAGTAGACTCAAGGTGGAAAAAGATTGACCACTTGGTAGAATAGATAGGCTTAATGCCTCTGGAGGAAGTCTATAAATAGAGTGGTGTTCCCATAATACTAAGTATTTAACAGAATTGTATGATGATAATACTAAGTATTAGCCCCTTGAGCTTTGGTCTAGTGGTAGAGCGCAACTTGTGATGTGTTGGTTAGGCGCGCGCCAGGGGTTCGGACCCTGCCGCATACAAAATCCTAGTAATTAAGTAGAGGGAGCCCATTATCCATGAGTTTTGAACTGTGTGCCACTGAACCTTGGGGATTTCTCGGTTGTAAAAAAAAGTACTAAGAATTACCAAAATGGTATGAAGAGATTGGATCAGCAGAATTCTAAAACTACGGAACCAACTGGTTTCACACCGGGGGAACAATTATAGCCGGATTCCAATGTGTATCAGAAAAATTTATTCATTTCCATCTGAGCTAAGCCTGCCAAACATTTTTTACTTCCAGGAAAGAGAAGCCCTCTCTGGCTTGGCCTTTCTTCTCCTTGCTCAAGGCTAAATCTAAACTAACCTTTAACCTTCCTAGTCACAGCCACAGTAAGCTCCCCGAACAACATATTCTACCAGTACCTCACAGGCACTCAAATTTTCCCATTTTGACAAGACATAATCTCAAAACAGCTGAATTAATGACATTGTCCAATAAGTGTATTTTCTAATGAGTGCCCAACAAGCACAGCCCAGCATTATAGAAGAGATTGGGACATTGGCATATATCAACAAATGATAATTAGGTGCTGACCGTGTTGCCATGTCTATATGACTAGGGAAAAGTTTACTTTGTTCTCAACAAGGGATATTGAATCCGCGAATGACTATCACAAACCAAAGATGATGCCTAGATCTTGTAGAACGGAGCAAATCCGATAACACAGTTGATAGCATTGGAGACGTTGCAAGTATAAAGGCAGCCAACTGGTCCACTTGAAACTTCAGTAGAAGAGATTTTGGGTTAAGCTAATCTCCAAAAGCAAATGAGCCTGGTCTACAAGTAGCTTTCTTCCTATAGATCATATCCCCATGCAAATGAATCCTTTGAGCACCCTATTCTTTTATATCGCTTTTACTCGACGTGAAGTAACACATAAAAGATTACTAACTAATAGAATACTTCACATGACTTTTGAACAAAAAGGTCACAAGGTCATGGTTGCAGATATAACAATAGTAGTGTTAGCAAACTCAAAAATCAGAAAGCCAATTAAGAATAGTTGAAATGCTTTCTAGGCCATTGTCCCCCTTTCCTACCAACTCCATCCATCATGCTGTTCAACAGTCACCATGCTTTCTAGGCCATTGTCCCCAATCTATTAGTAATCGAAGTTAACTCCTTACAAAAGTCAAAAATCTCAGTTTCTCGGCCATATAAAGGCAATTAGAAAGATTCAGCGAAATGAAATGTCCCCAAGAACGCATTCTGCAAAATACTCTAGACATGGTGGATCATAAGTTCTGTAAAACCTGAAATCCATTCTAAAATCAAGATATAATGCAGAGTCATCATGTATTCAGAAAAATGAAATGTAACATCTATAAGTCAGTGTTGTCAAAGGCTCTCTTGAGGCGCGCATAATCCTAAAGCTAGGTGCAACATAGGTTTTGTGCTTCACCTCATTTAAGCTGCACTTCAGTGCAGACACTACGTCATGCTCATTGTTTCATGAGCCTTGCCTTGAAGAGAGCACACCAAATACTTGTGGTTCGGTTTTGTAGTTATATTTCTTGAAATACATATATTCTTTTTATCTATTCCTTATATTAAGCCTTTATTCCTTAAAGCCCACTCTTTAGTTAGCATTTTTTGTTTAAAGCCCCAACATATTCCAGCTTTAAACATATATTGCAGAACATCAAAAAAAAAAAAAAAAAAAAAAAAA